TTAAACAAAAAAAAGCAAAATTAACTAATTGGTTTGATTCTGTCAGAATCGAGCCATCTAAACAATCAATAATTGATAAAGCTATTGCATTAGCTTTTATTATATGTAGTATTCCTTTTCGTGTAATTGATAATCCTTTTTTTGTAAATGCTCTAAAACTTCTTAATCCCGGTTATGAAGTTTCATAACATAAAATTCTTTCTGGGTGTCTATTAGATATTGAAGTTGCAAAAGTTATTAATAAAATTGATAAAATTTTAGACCATACTACTAATCTTACTATTGGTCTTAATGGTTGAACTGCTCCTAATGGATTATCAATTTGGAATTTTGTTATCATGACACCATTACAGCAAGGATTTCTTTATAAACTTGGAAATTACTTGGAACAATCACATACAGCAGAATTTCTAGCCAGTAAAATTGAATCAATTATTGATCGTATTGGTAATAATAAAATTTCAGCAATTATTAGTGATAACGAAGCCAATGTAGCATCTGCACGATGCATAATTTGTTCAAAATATAAACACATTATGAATATCCAATGCATTGCTCATTGCTTTAATCTAATTAGTAAAGATTTTACTTGGCATACATTTTCAGAAAGGATGATTCAGCATGCTAATAAAATAACAAGTTTTTTTAAAAGATCTCATAAAGCTGCAGCAATTTTAAAACAAAAAATTTCAGTACACCAAATTAGTGGAGGTGGTCTTAAAACCTATATCGAAACAAGATGGACAATAGTACATGAATGCATTTCATCAATTGTACAACTCAAGGTTTGTTTAGAGGATATTTAGGAAAATCATTCTGAAATTCTTAATCCTGTTATTTTGACGATTCTTCATAGTCGAGGCTTTTTTAGTGATATGCAATATCTTTCAGAGATTTTACTTCCAATTAAGGATGCTATTTTGTCAGTTGAAGCAAATTGTTCTACACTTGCTGACTGTTATATTAATTTGATGAGAATTGCTGGGCAATACAAAATCTTTCTACTGATGAATATAGAGGATTTCGCAATTATTGTATTAGAAAGTTTGATCAACGGTTTGAAGAATTTAATGATCCTGCTTATCAACTTACATATTTTCTTCACCTAGCATACAAAGGTATTATATTAAAATTTGGTACATTTCCTTTAATTGCAAGTTATGCTGGAAAGTTATGGCAACAAATGGGCAAATCTCAAGAAAGTTGTGAAGCTTTAATTACATAGCTGCATTTTTATAAAGAGCAAGAACAAAATATAAATGGAAATCCAAATCCTTATGTTGCCCCCTATACAATTGGTAGTGATATGCCATTGATATGGTGGAATACTTGTGAAGCTAAACCTAACCATTTGCAACACTTGGCTGTTAAACTTTTTTCTATTACACCAAGTTCTGCTAATTGCAAAAGAATTTTTTCATCATTAGGATGGATTTATGAAAATCATCGAACACGATTAGATATAGATCGATTAGAAGGGCTGGCAAAAGTTTATCGGTTCAATTTATCAAATCCTATAGATCAACTTCGTCATACTCAATTTATAGAAATAACTCCTGAAATAATGTCTGATATTGCAGAAACAGTTTTTAAAGAATTTGAAGAAGAAAAATTAGTGGAAGAAGAAGACATAGAATTGTCTAATCCTACTGAAGATCTTTATTCTAATGAACTAGATTTAAATTTGAATATTTCAAGTTTTATTGATCTTCATTTTTCAGTTTTTACAAACTCTGAAGATCGTTATGAAAATGAGGTGTCAAATGAAATCGAGTCAGATGATGATTTACAAGAAAATGAATATGACGTAGATGAAATTGTTTCTAGACAGTTCAACGATTCATATTAGATATAGGCATTATAAAGTGTTAACATATATATTTTTTATGATTTATACAGTATATTTTAGTGTTAGGGTATGGCAGAATTAGGTCATGTGTTACTGTGTCGGTAGCATCTTTAGTAAAAATGTAAGGGATACCAATACTTGTGATGGATAATAATTTTGAACATTTAAATTGAATTTATATATTTCTCCATGGTTTATACATAGTGTAATTTGGACATTTAAATTGGATTTATATATTCATATTATATTTTTACATCTCTTTTTAGGAATACCCAAGTATATAAAGCTTTAAAAAGTGATAAAAACAAAGTGAAAATATATATTGGGTACAAATATATATTTTAGCACTTTATAGTTAATGTAAACATTTCATCAAAGTTTTGAATATATTTTGCTCACTAGTATATTCTACAAATAATTTCTATATACTTAATTTTCTATTTTTGAATATAACAATTGTTGAACTTTTAAAAAATGCATTTACTATAAATTTAGAAGTTTAAATACTCATATAAATATCATAAAGTCTATCCCATACGCTGTTTAATAAAGGTAGCATAAATACATATTTCAAATTCCTTATTCAAAGTCGTTAAAGTCAATCTCACAACAGAAGGTCTAAATGTCAATTAAAATTTACTCCTTATAAAGTCTTAGTTCCTTTGATTGAGTTACTTAATTCCAAGACATTATATACGTTGTGAAGATTAAACTTACCAACATAGCACAATCCAAAATTGGGCTGTGCTCAATTTCTATTTTTTTTTATTTTATTTTATTTTTTTTGAAGTTAAGAACCGACTGAGTTAAACTCTATCTGAGTTATTCTTTATTGAAGGTGAGCTGGGGCTCCCTTTATACTTTTTAGAAAAATTGAAAAAGTATCTATCTAAATTTTTTTGATTCATACGAATCTTTTGATTCTTGAGAATCTTTGGTTCTCAAGAATCTTTTGGTTCTCGAGAATCTTTTAATTCTCTCAATCAAGTGATTCACCATTGCTGATCCTCAATTTACTTATTACAAATGGAAACTAATAAACTAAAGAAATTGAGCACAGCCCAATTTTGGATTGTGCTATGTCACTAAGTTTAACCTTCACAATGTATTTATAAAATAAATATTAATACAATTTATAGTTACTAGTAAAATGGCGACGTTTCATAGAGCTGGAGCCTTATTTATTAGGTACTTAAAAATGAAACATTTGACAAATATATATGTGTTAATTTTAAATAGCATATTTTTGCGTTTTATTTGTTCATATGCATTTCAATAGACATCAACTCTAATTTAATTCATAAAGAAAGTAATCTCTGTTCTTTGACTAATCTTTGCTGCAAACGTAACTTACTCCCAATTTTTGCAATCTACTATAAGTAAATGTACTATTAAAGAGAAGGTCAGAAAGTGCATGAACTCTTGATATAGCTATGAATGTAAGACCTATAGCAAATTCCTTATTACCGATATCTAATACAGTTTGCGATAATGTTAAATCTTGCGATTTATGAATTGTAATAATTTTTGCTGAAAGCTATTTTTATTATGATAATCGTTTATTTTATTTATTTTATTTATCATATTTATTACGCATCTATTTTATTACATTATTATTACGCATCTATTTTATTACGTTATTAATATTATAGTCTATTTTATTAAATTTTTCTTATATAATTTTAATGATCGAATTTCTGATTAGTTAAATTTTTAATATTCTATTTCATTATTTTTTATTATATAATTTTCAATGATCGAATTTCTGATTAATTAAATTTTTATAGGGAATACGACTGCTCAAGATCAATTATTTTCCCATTACAGGAGTGGGAGCCGGACATCTGTTTAATATTGTAGACTATAGAAAGGTCTTCCACTCTACTCCTCTCCGCTCCAGCCCAATAAGTATTTTAAATACAGGTAAGAACGTTGATGTTATACGATTGATTTTTCACATGATATGCAACATATAAAAAAATAATTTTACAATACCAGATCATTTCGCTAGTACATGTTATGATTATAATCCAACACTATTTTTACTAATAAAAATGGTGTTGGATTATAATTGTAACATGTATTAGTAGAATGATCTGGTATTGTAAAATTATTTTTTTATATGTTGCACATCATGTGAAAAATCAGTCGTATAACATTAATGTTCCTACCTGTTATATTTTAAAACATGAATTGTTGCTTTAATTAGTAATCAGGAATAACGAATTAACATAGATCTGTTACACCAATTACGATCATTGCACCTATTACAACCATTACACCCATTACAACTGTTACGCCTATTGCAACTATTACACCTATTCCAACTTATTACACCTATTACAACCATTACACCAAATACAACTGTTACATCGATTACAGTTATTACACCTATTACAGCAAAATTACAACTTCTAGCATAAAAAGTTGCAACCTTTCAACTTTGGAAAACCTATTACAGCAGGCAACCTTAGTTAAGAGCTGAATGATGGTGAATTTTGTTAATTAAGTTGTGTTTATGGTAAGTGTCAAGATCAGGCAAGTTTATGAAGATAATTTGATTAGTAGAGGTTTGGATAATTTGATCGAGTAAAGATGGATTAGTGTAAGTATGCCAGTGAGAATGGGAATTAGGTAGGTTACAAAAGAAACAAGTAGTATCTGGGTATTGGCTTGGATAAATACTATGATATAATGAGTATGTTGGCAACTCATTAAGAAGGATTTTTGTTTTAAAAGATTTTAGTTGATTAAGTCTAAAGTTGGTAATATTGTATGAAGGTTTTTGATTGTGATTGAAATAGAGCCAAGTAGATCTCAAGTCATTATCTTGGTTGAAGTATAACTATTCACTGTTTTATTTTTGTGATAACCATATAGCTAAAATATGAGCTTTACAGATTTGTTTAATAAAATGCCTTGTAGGAAGTTCTACATAGTGATGTTTCTATTGGAGAATATGATAAAGGTTATAGAGATTTGTGTAGTTAAATGAAAGGAGTAGTGACAGTAGGTGTTGTTTAGTAAGAGAGTCTGCTTGCTCATTGAGATGGTTGTCTGAATGAGCCTATACTTTGTGAAAAGTAATTTGTAGTTTGTACAATTTGATAATGTTTAAAAGAGTATGCCAAATTGGCTATGAATTAAATTTAAGTAACTTGTTAGAATAAATTGGCTTAAGTGAAGATTGTTAAATTTGGAGATTACTGATTGAGAGTCTGTAAAGATATTAATAATACAGTTTCGAGGAGTAGTTAAGATTGCAGTAATAATTGAGAATAGTTCTGCTTTATAAGATGAAGGCCAGAATTTGATTTTAGCAGAGAAGGAATTA